GGAGGCCGAGAGGAGGCAAGTGTGGGAGCCTGCTTGGACGGCCTTCGACCATTCGGTGCACCCTCCAGGGGCTTTTGGGGACCAGGTCTTTGCAGAGGCCGGCGGCTTCAGCTGTCCTCCAGGAAAGGCCCCTTGTCTGGTCCTTTGTGCTCCAGAAGAGATGATTTGTGGGCGTGGCCGTCGCCATGCCTTGTTTCTTCCCGGCAAGCGGAATGGGGCCGTTTCACTGTTGCATCTGCTTTGAAGAGGTCCCTCGTTTCTATTTTGGGAACGGAAAACTCTGCTAGAAGTAAGCCAGACAGGGGACAGGCGGCGTCTGGCTTCTAGATCCCTCTCCTTCCTCCGGGCCGGCTTAGTGTCTGCTGGGAGTTGCCCAAAGCCGCCCTCGCCGTGTTTTGAAAGGCACCGATGAAATGGTTGCTGATGCTTTCTTACGAAACTTGTCAAACTCCTCGTGGCCTGGGGTCTGGACCCTGCGTGTGTCCACACCGCTGTTGGCTTTGCGGAGGGTTGTTTGCGTCTCACCCTGGGTTCTGTAGGGAGGCTGCTGGCGGTGCTACCTGCCAGCCGGCCCTTCCCTGGGACACGCTCAGGTAGTGAGAGAGCAGATCCTTGTGCTGGGCGCTTGGGCTTCAGGGACACACCTCTGGTCAGTATTTCTTGGCATCAGTTTTCTCTGAAATAATTCAGCCCCAGAAGAGAAAGATATCAAAACAAAATCCGTGCAGCATTTCTGGGCTGAATGAATGCACACATGCATTTTATGTCGTGAAAAGGACACCACACAGAAATCTATGCATGCTGCTGAGTCTGGGGTGGAAGTGTGGGTTCGTTCATCCTTAAGGATCCCCTCAACATTTCTGAAAAAATGACGTAGAGCAAGAATGGTTTTGGGAAGGGAACCTCTGTTTTTTATTTTCCTTAATCTCTTTCTGTACACTAAAGTACGTTGCCTGCTGCTTTGTGTGTTTTCCTATCCCAATTTATAATTTCCGTGAAATGGCTCTCTCCCTGGTCTCCAGGCGTCATTGTGTTTTAAATGGCTCCACTTCACAGAATCCAGTCACCAGCTGGAGCCAGTCCTGCTTCAGAGAAAGGAAGGAAGCGTGCAGCCAGGTTTCTCTCTTAAAGTTTGTCAGAAACAAATGTCTTCTTTTACCTTAAAGAGAAAGTGAGAGTGTTGTGAAGGTTGAGAATAAATGTGCCTCACTTCCGTTTTGATTTTTCAGTCTTTGCAGCTCATGTATCCCCTTCTTGGTGCAAGGGAGGTCCTTGCTGCATGTTACTTTTCAGGAATGCCTGCACTCTGCTTCTTCTTGCTCTGCCTCTCACCAGTTCATGGTTCCCAGACTGCAGCCACTGAACCTACAGTGCTGTGTTAACTGCTGGAAATGTGTCAGGAACATGGCATTCAGGAGATGGTTTGGGTTAGAGAGATCATCAGCCCCACAGGACCATACTTTATCACTCTGGAAAGCCATGTGTGGATTCCTCAAATGCTTGGAGCAGCAGGGTATGGTATATATATGAGGAACTCTGCCAGCACCTTCTGTGAGCGCCTATGATTATTAATTCTCTTTGGTGTTTTTCTTCTGAGTGAACGATTCTTTCGAAGGCTTAATTTCCTTTGGGGGGGCATAATATTAATGCTCAGTCTTCTTTCTTTGAAGGACTGGACTTGGTGTTGAGCTGTGTTTTGTGAGATTATGGAAAAGGCATGCACTTACTAGAACTGAGGGTGGAGGGAACTGGGTGGGGTCTATCATCTAGGCTTGTTTCTTCTGCAGAGGGAGGGGTCGGCTCAGTAACCCCTCTGGTTCCCTGCTGTGGGTCACTGGCTGTTTTCACACATAGAGATGGGCCCAAGAGAGTTAAAATTATGCTGAGAAAAAGAGGTGAGTTTATTGAAATGCTCTGTCTCGTATGTCATTGAACTGGTGTTTTTAGTTTTCCTTGGCTTGAGTGTGAGGACTCTGCTGCCTGAGAGACTGAGCACCAAGGGATAAACCTTGGGGAGAATGTTCAGGTTTACTGAGTGATTTATGAGGGAATGGGAATATATAATAAGATCCTGAATATAGATTTCAGGAGAGTATGATAGGTTTCTGTAATGTATGAAGTTTTTATTTTGTGCTCTCAGGTAATTTAACTGATTTGAATATTTTAAAATATCCCTTTTATTAAATCAGTCCTTTCAAAATCTAAAGTAGACACAACTTTAGTCATAATCTTCTTTGTAATAAAAAACAATAATTTATCGCTTAAGGACAGCGGAAACTGAATATATTTATGCATTCAGCTTTCATTTTAAACAGAGCTTAAATAAAATCTTAAAAGAATTAAAAATCATCAGTTTAAAAATAAAAAATCTTAAGGAACTTTTGAAATAGGTTGTAAAGAAGTTGGATTAGCATTTTGTTTCAAAATTAGAGCTGGGTTATTTGACCTATACAGGTTTTTCCATTTTGCTTGGGAATGAATTATTGATATGAATGGAAAATTAAGAACGAGTCACAAATTCTTACTTTGGAAAATTTCTTAGGGAATTTTTTGTTTTTAACCTTCAGCTGTTAGATAGCTAAATGCTAGAGAAGTGGCAAGGATATTTGGCAAAAATAGTAACTACTGAGCAACATTTCTAAGCACTAAGTCAGGTTAACAGGTAAAATGAAATAACCAGTACTGGAGAAATTGTGTATTCATCATTTGGGGGTAGAACGTGAGGCTAAGTGTCTTCCACCTATATTGAAATTAATTTTGAGGTTCTGAGCTCTGCTTTGAAGGCTTGCACGAATTCTGTTGCTTTGGCCTTATTGCGCTAACTAGAGATTGACAAATCATAATTCTTTTAATTTGGCTTATTAAAAAAAAATGTTAAGGGCCTCTCATGTGTCACATACTCTGCAAAGTCTTGGGGGTGCCAGGGTGATGATGATGTGGTTCTTGCCCACAGGAGCTCATAGTCAAGTAGGAGAAATGAATTTTCACTTATGGATGGATGAGGCAGGTAGGGAATGCTGTTCTGATGCACCAGTTATGTATGCATAAAATATATGTATTTTATATATTCCTGTATTTAATTAATTACTAAATTAAATTTATTTTATATTACTGTATAACAAATTATTATACATTTAGTAGCTTAAACCAATCCCCATATATTATCTCACAGTTTCCATGGGTCAGGACTCTGGGCATGGCTTAGCTGGTTCTCTGCTCAGGATCTCAGAAGGCTGCAGTCAAGGTGTTGGCCTGGCTGTGTTCTCATCTGGAGGTGTGAGTGGGGAAGAATCCGCTTCTAAGCTCATTCAGGTTGTTGGCAGAATTCATTTCTTGTAGCTGTAGGGCTGATGTAGCTGTAGGGCTGATGTCCCTGTTTCCTTGCTGGCTGTCACTTGGCAGCCAGCTCTCAGCTTCTAGAGGACCCTGCAGTTCCTTGCCATGTGGCTCCCTCATAGGCCCTGTTATCAAATGGCAGCTCACTTCTTAAAAGCCAGAAAGGAAGTCTCTCCATCTCTAGTCTGCTGAGATGGAGTCTTATATAGCATACCTTATATAGCATTTGATTAAGGGAGTGACATCCTGTTACTCGAATCATATTCTGTTGGCTAGAAGCAAGTCACAGGTTCTGCCTGCTCTCAGGAGGAGGGGATTATACAAAGATGTGACCCTTTGAGAGTCATCTTAGAATTCTGCCCATGACAGTGCATTTCTGGTTATTCCACTGGCTTCTGTTCCCAATAAATCTGAGCATTTGAGTCCTAGGAAGACCGATGAGAGCAGTCCCAGTTAAGAAATAAAAGCAATCATCTGGAAAACGGGAAGTAGATGGTTTTCTTCTCTCAGTAGGTAGAAAATAGGAGAAAAAAGTAGTGTTTGTAGGTTCACAATATTGATAGGAAGGAGTTACATAAAAACAGTGGTGTGTTTGGGGTGGACCTCCACAGGAATCTCACAGGATCCTCTGGCTAGACACAGTCATTTTTTATCCGGATGTCTTAGCATTGGCTGATCTCTCTGGCGTGACATATGGCAGGAACATGCTTTGAGGGACAAGTCTCCTGGAGAGTACACTGCAGCACACAAGCTAGACAGATGGTGGCTTATTCAACCTTGGATAGGAGTGTAATCCTACACGTTGGCAGGCTGGGTGCTGAGAGGTGCTTGTGGTATCTGAGGCAGAGCTGACTGAGTTTACCTGAAACTACTTTGTAAGGCACGAGGCGGTCACCTGATGTGACCTGGAATGGTGTGATGCACACAGAGTATACTCATCAAGCTGGGATGAGGATGCTGGTGACAGATTGTGTGAACTGGAACTGGACAAAGTCTGGAGCATCAAATGGGAGGACATTCTACCAGCAGGCTGGAGGGCAGGTGTAAAGGCAGCATTGCAGACACAATCATGGATGTCATCACGCTAGCGAGGTCTTCACTAAGCAGGGGTCAGTATTCCTCTCACAAAATTAGACATTTATTTCATGGGAGGAAAAAGGTGCCACTGGGCCTGCCTTCTTTTACAGTTAAGGATTAGGTGGATCCATGTGGTGGCAAGATAATTTGGATTGTTAAGAAAGAAAACGGTCTTTTCACAACCATACTTAAGATGTCTGTGATTAAAAAAAACCCCAAATCCAATAAGGACATTGTCCATTATTTGTTTGTGGCCTCTCATTGAAGAAAAGGCCCAGGTGTTTGGAGGAACAAGTGTGTATCCTTTGATTAGAAGATGAGAACTCGGTGCTTCTGTGGCTGCTAGAGAGCTGATATGGGGATTTTGTCCTGAGTTCAGTCATATCCCTTACCCCAGATTTTTTGCTGTAATCCTCTCTTCCTTCTCTTTATTATTTGGTGCTTGTCTTTGTATTCTTATTTTATTCATTTTGGCATTTGTGCCTTTTATTGTGACAGTCCTCAAATAGTTTTTGGAACTTGGGGAAGGGGATAGTGCAGTAAGAGAAACCAAGAAATGGTTCACTGAAATTATTTTTTTCTTTTAGCAGTTTAAGCTTTACATTTTTAACATCAAACTGCTGTCTCTTGATTGGACCATTTTCAAGAACTGACATCAGTTTTCATACAGCTTAAAAGGTGGGTAGACTTCAGACTCTTCTCTTTGATAATGTTTGTGAAGCAGAGCTTGTCGCAGCACTAACCATTCTGAGATGGTGTTCCTCCCAAGAAGGTCTTACCAACTTCTAGATGCAAAAACTCTTACTAATTTAGCTTTTTGTGAAAGGAGGAAAGTTGTGTGATATCAGATTAAATGTGACTTTTCTTTTTTGTTTTATACACGAGTCAATTCACAGTGGGCTGTAAATGTATATAAAATACATATTTCTGGATTTAATAAAATACCTGAAGAAAAATAATCTTACTATTCAACTTGTGTTTATTGCTGAGCCTGAGGATTTAATGCCCAGATACTTAAAAACATTTAAGATCAGTGAGAAATGAGATTTTTTTATTTCTCATTCTAAATTCTTTTTCTTGTTTTTCTACTTCATAAAATGGGGATAATAATCAGATTGCCATGAGAAATAAATGAGCTGCTCTGCTTAATACAGCACCTGGCATATAGCACACACTAAATAGATATCAGTTTCTTTCTGTCTCTCAGCTGTTGTGGCATCAAGTGGGCAAGTTTTTGTTGCTCTGTATTGGTAGCACACGTGGTCTGTACTGTGAAGTGGCGGTTGACCTCCTAGTTTACTCCATTTGTTTTTACATTTGTGTCCCTGTGTGTTTCTTTTTGGAGGCTGAGGTGTAAGTGGCTGGGCCTTGGGACATCTGAAAGTAGAAGCTTAGATGACACCTATGTGTTTTGGTCATCTCTGGACATCTTCAGATGCAAAGCCCTATTTGGAGCCAACCCCAGTGGGGGAGAGTCAGTGAAGGTGCTGGGAGGGTGCCAGGAGCACCCTCCCCTGCTTCAGCTGGCCCACCACCAGCTTTTCACTTTATGCGTGCCTCTTCACCTCTCTGTGCCTCTATTTTGTTAGCTCCTGTGATTCCTGTCCTGCCTAATTGCCAGGCTGTGAGGAACATCAAATGAAGAAATATATGCGAGTCTTCAGGAAAGTAAGAAAGTCTATAGAAAACATAAGGTTCAGCTTTTTCCTAAATTTTTAATTTGCTAGGTATGACTCATTGTTTATGCTAAATTCCTTACTAGAGTGTAAGCTTTATAAGGGCAAGAATCTCCCTCCCCCCCCCCCCTTATTTTTTCCTCCAGCGCCTAAAACAGTGCCTGGTAAATGGGAGGAGTTCAATAAAATTTTTGTCAAATGAAGTGAATTGATGAATATCCCCGTGGGAGGCTCTCTCAGAGCATATCCAAGCCTTTTTATTTATGCTTGTTGTTGGAAATAGATGAGGCAGTTGGAGAATCAGGAGAGATTTAATGCGCTTCCTCACTGAGGCATACAGACTCTTGAATTTAAATGGACTTTTCACAGTTTGGAACTTTCCTAAAATTGTAGGTGCTAAGAAGCATGCAGTACATAACAAACCACACACCCATAGTCAGTGTTGGGTGCAATTCCTCTGTATTGCTGAGTGTGTGCAGTTCATATGTGTTTCTTTCTTAAGTGGATCTCACTATCAGATATCTAAAAACTTGGAGCCTGTGCGATAGGCTCTCACAGGGTGGGTGATAAGCTTTCACAGGGAGCACTCAGGTTGTGTGCTTCATGGATGTTCGGTGACTGATGAAATACTTCTCATTCATGTGATTCTTTATTACCTGGCAGGACAGCATGATGTTTGAGAATCCCCTATCTTCCTGACTTGGTGAGTATTGATGAGTTGCCTTATTTTTTTTCTATAATTTGGCACACCCACCACCAGCTTAATGTGGCAGGCGGCAACTCATCTCTACCGGGGCTGAAGAGAGTGTGGGCACAGTTTAGTTTCTCTTTCATCATCTCAGGTTCAGCCCTCTTTGATTTTTCCCACCAACAACTAAAACTGTCTTCAAGTAGAATTTTACCGGGTATCTGAACACACCACTGGACCCTAAGGACTGTGCAGCTTGATTTACAAAATTTTGGCAAAAATAGAAATAATTCTTGCAAGTTACATTAGTACCTGATTTTCCTCCATGTATGGGGTTACCTCATTCTGTCAGCTATTTTAAGCAACTTTCAAAATTGGTAATGGAAAAATTTTTCCTGACTACGTTATTGTATGTGGATTTTAAATTAAATACAAAGCTACGTTGCTCCTTCTGAACATCAGAGCAGTTAAAGAACAGATCCCTGTCTGCTTTGTGCATCTCGGGTCCTTGTCAGGCACATGCTTGGATTCTGAGGTAAGAACTTTCGCACCTCTAAAATAGGTTCTTACAGCTGACTGTCCTGGAATTTATATTTGCTCTGTTACTTGTAAAATTCTGTCCCTTGAAGCTCACAGCTGGACTGTGAGACATTCGTAAGTGTTGATAAGATGGACAGGTGGCATTACCACTCTGCTCCGTCTGCTTGGCTGGGAATGCCCAAGGAGGTCTGGATTTTTGCATTAACTGCAGAATGTGCCTCTTAACTGTACAGTGGATTTTCTTGAACTTGGTTTTAAAATGGGGTTGGGTCCCCGTTTCCAGGTTGTTATTAAGTGTATTTTTAAATTTTAACCTCTTCGATAAATCTGAAGACAGATCTCTCTTTGTCATATCACATTTGTAAGGTGTAGTCAGAAACATGGCCTTTGGTTCAAATTCTGTCCTTGCCACTTTTATTCACATTGTTACTCTGGCAAGTCCTACCCTTCTCTGAGTCTTAGGTTTTCTCATCTTTAAATGGGATAATATTTATCTTGTGGAATTATTGTGAAGATGCCTAATTCAGCATTTGCTGCACAGTAGGAGCTCAGTAAAATGTCAGTTATTGTTTTCCATCCAAATGCTGTCTCTTACCCAAGGACCATGTGCTGGCATGATCAGAGGAAGAGAGAGAGCAGAGGCGCAGATCTCTCTGTCCTCTTTCAGGATGAAGGAGGTTTGTTGAGGAATTTCGTGAGGCATCTTGTTAGAGCCAGGTGTGGTGGAATGCTGGTGCTGGTGACTCGATTGAGCACAAAGCTGCTGGAATGTAGGTGAAGAAAACATTAATTCGAGCTTTTTTTCACCATTTTCTGTCTTCTTCGTGAGAGAATGAAACCTCCCACTTAAATCTGGTTGGCTCTCTTCGTAGATGAGAAAGGTTTCAGATGGGGAAAATCCCACCTCCCTTTTGGTTTCCTTCAAGGTCCTTAAGGGATCTGAAGTGGATGGTGAGGACCAGGGAGCTGTGTGAAAGTGTTCCAGTGTGAGACCTGTGGTCCCAGTGGGGAGATGCTCCAGTAGTTAAAAAATAACCTTGGATACAGGTGATGCATCCTTTACCTGAACTTCCTGTCTTTGTGTTAAATTTAAACTTTTAAGGTAAATCAAGGAGGATCAGTAGTGCTGGGAGAAGCATCACCTTTGAGTGTAGGTCCCTGCTGTCTACACTGGTAAATAAAATAATGCTTATTTTCTCCAGATGTGTCTTTGACACTGTACCATAAAATAGATTAAACCGTGAAAATGTGATCGAACAAAAACATTTGGAGCTGTGGTGTAAATGACCATATTGTGCTGGGGTTTCCCTAACTTGAAGGAGGATTTAAACTCTGTCTTAGAGTTAGGCTAGGATCAATCAGGGGCTGCACTAGGGCTTCCCATCTGTGTGAGAAGCTGGGCAGTGGTGGGTTGGTGCCTTTTTGGCCTTCCGGGTTGTCATCAGGGGAATGATGCCAAGGTTCCCAGTGGGAGGGGTCCTGGGACAAATCCTGGGTAGACTACTTCTGGGGTCCCCCTTGGCTTCTGGAAGAGTTTCTGGGTTCTCTACGCCTCATTCAGATCCTCCCATCTCCTCTCTCTCCTCTTCCTTCCTCCCTCCCTTCTGCCTGCTCCATGGCAATGCAGACTGAGGGGACTCAGATCTGAGCTCCATCTCACTGCTTTCCCCTCATTCTTCAACTTTAAGGTTAAGAGTAGCACTGAGAAAAAAATGAAACTCAGCAAAGACATCAAGGATGCTGTGTGCAAATTTTGAATTAGGAAAAGCCAGCAGCACAGAGAAGGAAGGCTAGCAGGCGGGAACACCACTTTAGAGGCTGGGAAGAGAAACTTGTTACCTCTGTCATTTCTGTCTGTGGCCTGGGAACTGGGGAATTTTCTCTGCCCGTTTGTTGGATTCTGTCTTATTATTAGACTATATTATTTTCTCATTAAGTAGACATTCAGAGTTTTATCAGAAAAACACATTTACATTTCACTTTAAAATCAAACATGCTAGCAGCTTCATTAGTCAATGCCTAGCACAGTAGTGTCAAACTGCTAAAAAGCCAGCAAATTTTCCACCTAAAAATTTTGTGGGGGAGGTAAAGGTGGGGGGCGTGGGGAAGAGTATAAAAATAAACCTTCCAGAGATTCTGGGTTGCTTGGTGGCGTGTGTATTTTTCCGTGGTGCAGGAGGTTAGAAATAGCATTGCTTTTTATGGGATTCTCAGCAGCAGCTCAAAAATTTGGCTTCATGGGCTTGGTTTCTCTTTGTGGATGAGGCAGCTTCTGCAGCTTGTGGGGTGGGGGGCAGTGCCCGGCAGCAGACTCTGGCACTGTCTCTGTCTGTCTTTCTGCCTCCCTGCCCCCCACTTGGTGTCACCCGGATGAACAGCACTCAAGTGTAAAATGGCTTACCAAGGTCAGGTTCTTGTGATGACTGCCTGTGGCAACTGATGCCAGTCGTAACAGACTGAGTCGCAGCGGTCCCCACAAAGTCACATTGGTACATGTGTGAGGGCCGTCACTGGGAGCAGGAATCATAATCTGGGAGGGGGCTGTTCTTCAGGGCTGCTGTGTGTCAGACTGGCTGAACCTCTTGAGCCTATATGAGATGACCTCCCCTTAGAGTCTTGATATCAGCAAGGTGGATGGGCTACCCCTTCAAAATGAGTCCTCATGGATTCTTGAAATTTGTTACAGTTACATAGTTCTTACAAATGGAGGTAGGTTGCCTGAGTGTTTCTCAAATTCAATGCAGAAAGGAAATGGAAGGAGGCAGCCACTGGAC